TATATATATATGTATATATATACATCTATATATATATATATATATATAGATGTATATATATATATTATGTGTATAACGTATATATATATTATGTACATAGAGTGTAGGTATACACCGGCCTGAAAATTTAGGTGTATGGAGACTATTTTTTTTTATAAAAATTTTTATATTTTTACATTAAATATTTAAATTATATTTATTTATTTATTTATATTTATAACGCCAGCAGCAAAACATCTGCTGCTGCTGCTGCTGCTGCTGCTGCTGCTGCTGCTGCAGCTTCATCGCTGTGCACGAGAGGGGAGCGTCGTTGCTGCGGGGCCCCCGGGGGGCCCCCAGGGGGCCCCCAAAGAGGAGGGTACAGCAGCCTGCTGCTGCAGCTTTATACTAAACAGTAATATATTGATTAAAAATAGCTGCAGCAGCAGCAGCAGCAGCAGCAGCGGCAGCTGCAGCAACTGCAGCAGAGGCAGCAGCAACAGCATCGAGACCCGCCGTTGCCTCAGCAGCAGCAGCAGCAGCAGCAGCAGCAGCAGCAATAACAGCAGCAGCAGCAACAACAGAAACAACAAAAATAAAAACATAAATAACAGCAACAACAGCAACAGCAGCAGCAGCAGCGGAGGAGAACAGCAGCAGCACCAAGACCGCCAGCATCGAAGGTGCAACCGCCTGCAGCAGCAGCAGCAGCACCAGCAGCAGCAACTGCAGCAACTGCAGCAACAGCAGCGGCAGCAGCCGCTGCAGCAGCTGCATCAACTGCAGCAGCAGCAGCTGCTGCCGCAGCTGCAGCACCAAGAACAACAGCAGCAGCAGCAGCAGCAATGCACTGGGCGCGCGCAGCAACGCTAATAGCAGCAAACACAAAACCCTAAACCCTAAACCCTAAACCCTAAACCCTAAACCCCATGGGGGGCCCCTCAGGCAGCAGGGGGCCCCGCCACCGGGCGCACGCCTTGAGGATTTCCTATGAGAACCTTGCTGCAGCGCCTGCTGCAGCAGCAGCAGCAACAGCAGCAGCTGCTGCTGCTGCACCCACAGACACAGGGGCCTCCGCCAAGGGCTCATGGGGAGAGCAGCAGCAGCAGCAGCGGCGGCCGCAGCAGCAGCAGCAGCTGCAGCAGCAGCAGCAGCACCGGCAGCAGCACCGGCAGCAGCGGCGACAGCACCAGGACTTTCAGCATAAGCGCCAAAGACTGCTGAGCATGCAGCAGCAGCAGCAGCAGCAGCAACAACAAATGCTGCTGCAGCAGCAGCACCATCGTACTGGCTCCATCCCGCTGCAGATGAACCCCATGAGCAGCAGCAGCAGCTGCTGCATCAGCAGCGGCAGCAGCAGCAGCAGCAGCAGCTTCTGCTGCTCTCCTCCCCCTCAAGGAATCTGCAACGCAGAATTCGCCTACAGGCAGCAGCAGCAGCAACTGCAGCAGCAGCAGCAACTGCAGCAGCAGCAGCAGGAGCAGCAGCACCTGCCACCGCCGCCACCACCCCCACCCGATTGGTCACAGCAGCAACCGCAGCAGCAGCAGCAGCAGCCGCAGCAGCAGCTGCTGCTGCAGCAGCAATACCAAATGCCGCAGCAGCAGGGGATGGAGATGAATCAAATGCTGCAGCAGCAGCAACAACTGCAGCAGCAGCAGCAACAAATGCATCCAACATTCCAGCAGCAGCCACTGCAGCAGCAGCCACTGCAGCAGCAGCAACTGCAACAGCAGCCAGTGCTGCAGCAGCAACTGCAGCAGCAGCCGCTGCAGATGCAGCAGCAACCACTGCAACAGATGCAGCAGCAACCGCTGCAGCAGATGCAGCAGCAACCAATGCAGCAGATGCAGCAGCAGCATATGCAGCAGCAGCATATGCAGCAGCAGCACATGCAGCAGCAGCAGATGCAGCAGCAGCAGCAGATGCAGCAGCCAGCACAACAACAGCTGCTGCAGCAGGCAGTGCCGCTGCAGCAACAACCGCTACAGCAGCAACCACTACAGCAGCAGCCCCTGCAGCAGCAACCGCTGCAGCAGCAACTGCAGCCGCAGGCGCTGCAGCAGCAGCAACTGCAGCAGCAACACCTTCATCAGCAGCCAGTGCAGCAGCAGCAACATGTGCAACAGCAACCCCTGCAACAACAACAACTACAGCAGCAACAACAGCAGCAGCAACTGCAGCAGCAGCAGCCTCCCTCGCTGCAACAGTTCCAGCCACAGCAGCAGCAGCCGCTGCAGCTAATGCAGCAGCAACCACCGCAGCAGCAGCCACTGCAGCAAGAAGCGCCGCAGCAGCAGCCGCTGCAGCAGCAACCGCTGCAACAGCAACAACTGCAGCAGCAACAACTGCAGCAGCAACCGCTGCAACAGCAACAACTGCAGCAGCAGCCACTGCAGCAGCAACAATTGCAGCAGCAACCGCTGCAGCAGCAACCGCTGCAGCAGCAACCGCTGCAGCAGCAACCGCTGCAGCAGCAACAACTGCAGCAGCAACCGCTGCAGCAGCAACAACTGCAGCAGCAACAGCTGCAGCAACAACAACTGTACCACCAACAACTGCAGCAGCAGCCACTGCAGGAGCAACCGCTGCAGCCGCTGCAGCAGCAGCCACTGCAACACCAGCCCTCGCAGCTGCAACAGCAGCAGCAACTGCATCAGCAGCAGCAACTGCAGCAGCAACAGCAACTGCAGCAGCCGCAACAACTGCAGCAGCAACAGCAACTGCAGCAGCCGCAACAACTGCAACAGCAACAGCAACTGCAGCAGCAGCAGCAACTGCAGCAGCAGAGCTATTGCTTTCAAGCAGGGCTACCAGGGCCTCAAGAGCAGCAGCAACTGCAGCAGCAGCAACTGCAGCAGCAGCAACTGCAGCAGCAGCAGCAGCTGTGGCAGCAAGAACAGCTGCAGCAGCAGCACATTGGGCACCCCACAAACCAGAGGAGACAGCAGGGGCACAGGAGAGAGCAGCCTGCAGCTCAGCAGCAGCTGCAGCAGCAGCTGCAGCAGCCGCTGCAGCAGCAGCTGCAGCAGCAGCTGCAGCAGCAGGAGACATTGCAGCCTTACAACACGCAGCAGCAGCAACAACAACAGCAGCAACAGATGCTGCTGCAGCAGCAGCAACAACCACTGCAGTACCACTGGCCTCAACAGATGCACCACCAGCAGCAGACGCAGCTGCAGCAGCAACAGCAGCAGCAGCCAATGCAGCAGCAGCAGCAGCAGCAGCAGCCAATGCAGCAGCAGCTCATTGCAGCACCCCCACCACCTCCGCCGCCACCAGCCCCGCCATGCAGCAGCAGCGCATGCAGCAGCAGCTACACTCCCAGCAGTGCCTTGCTGCAGCAGCAGCAGCAGCAGCAACAGCAGCAGCAGCAGCAGCAGCAGCAGCAGCAGTGCCTGGGGGTCCCCGCCCCACCTCGCAGCAGCGGCAGCCTCCATCTTTGGCCTCCGCAGCAGCCGCCCCCACCACCGCCGCTGCCTCTGCAGCAGCAGCAGCAGCAGCAGCAGCAGCAGCAGCAGCAGCAGTGGATAAAGACAGAGACCGGGGGGGCTGTGCCGTCTTACCGAGAACGCAGAAGCAAGAAAGGCTTGTGAGCCCAAACCCTAAACCCTAAACCCTAAACCCTAAACCCTAAATCTGCGGTTGTAAACAGCATAAACCCTCAGCTAAACCCTAAACCCTAAACCCTAAACCCTGCCTACATTTTGGGGTCCGGCTACCTTGTAATCCCTCTACTGTAAACCCTAAACCCTAAACCCTAAACCCTATACCCTAGACTCTAAACCCTAAACCCTCGTTTCTAACCCTGAAACCCTAAACCCTATCCCCAACCCCCAACCCCTAACCCCTAACCCCTAAACCCTAAACCCTAAACCCTAATAAACCCTAGTTTGTGGTGTATGTTGCACTGCAGCGAGCGGTTTGTGTGCGGGCCGTGCGAGAAGAGTTTTGCTTCGCTGCTGCGGCTGCAGAGACACCAGAAAGAGGAACACGTCAGCTGCTGCTACTTGGGGTGTACGTACACCGGGCCACCGCATGCAGTTTGTCTCCATAAACTCACACATATGAAAAACAAACAAGGGTTAGGGCTGCTGCTGCTGCTGCTGCTGCTGCTGCTGCTGCTGCTGCTGCTGATGGTGCTGGGGTTAGTGTTGCTGCTGCTGCTGCTGCTGCTGCTGCTGCTGGGGTTGGTGTTGCTGCTGCTGCTGCTGCTGCTGCTGCTGCTGGGGTTGGTGTTGCTGTTGCTGCTGCTGCTGCTGCTGCTGCTGGGGTTGGTGTTGCTGCTGCTGGGGTTGGTCTTGTTGCTGCTGCTGATTAGGGTGCTGCTGTTGGTGCTGCTGGTGTTGCTGCTGCTGCTGCTGCTGCTGCTGCTCGTTATGCTGCCGCCATTCGTGCTGCTGTTGCTGCTGCATCCACAGCCTTTATCCTTTTTTGCTGCATCTGCTGTCACTGCTGCTGCTGCTGCTGCTGCTGTTGCTGCTGCTGCTGCTGCTGCTGCTGCTGCAGCGAGAGCATCGTAGACAGCCCTGCAGAGGTGGAGCTGTGGCTCGCAGCAAGGAAGGCCTCCTACCCCAAGAAACGATCCCCACAAGTATGAAAAATATTAGGGTTTAGGGTTTAGGGTTTAGGGTTTGGGGTTTGGGGTTTAGGGTTTAGGGTTTAGGGTCTTATGATTTGAATGTAAGAAAGAGACGGCAGCGAGTTCAGTTTCATCGCTTGCAACCCATGGTTTAGGGTTTAGGGTTTAGGGCTTAGGGTTTAGAGTCTAGGGTTTAGGGTTTAGGGTTTAGAGTCTAGGGTTTAGGGTTTAGGGTTTAGGGTGTTTTGTTTGCCTTGGTGGTTGCAGGAGACGTTGCCTACTGCCTTCGATAAGCCGAAGAGTGTTCTGGAGAGTCCGTAAACCCTAAACCCTAAACCCTAAACCCTAAACCCTAAACCCTAGACACAGTTGTTTGAGCCCTTAACCCTCACCTCTCACTTCTCTGGGGCATCGAGGGTTTAGCGTAAACCCTAAACCCTAAACCCTAGGGTCCAGCATGAGGGGCTGCTCTCTACTCCGTGCTGTATACTAAGGGTTTAGGGTTTAGGGTCTAGGGTTTAGGGTTTAGGGTTTAGGGTTTAGGGTTTTGTTTACAGCTATTCTGAGGAATTCTCTCGCCAGCAACAACAGCGACTGCGGCGGGCGGCTCCCTGACTTTTGGTTTGCCCCATACGGTAAACCCTAAACCCTAAACCCTAAACCCTAAACCCTAAACCCTAGACCCTAAACCCTAGCCAGTAGATAGAAACCCTTGAACCCAAACCGCGAAGCTGTAAACCCTAAACCCTAAACAGCTAACCGAAACCCTTAAACCCTAAACACTAAACCCTAAACACGAAACACTAAACCCTAAACCCTAGACACGAGGCCTAAACACCAAACCCTAAACCCCAAACAGTAAACCCTAAACCCTAAACCTTTGACGACTAACCCTAGTTCCCTTACCCTAAACCCTAAAGTCTTAATGCGCATACTCTACACAGCAAACCCTCGAATTTGTTGGTTAGGGTTTAGGGTTTAGGGTTAGGGTTTAGAGTGGCTAGGGTTTAGGGTTTAGGGTTTAGGGTTTTAGAGTGTATGTACATTTGTGTGTCAAGGGAACCTGCGCCTGATGGATGGTCTGTATACTCCTGCTGTTGCTGCTGCAGCACACACAGGAGAAAGAACAGCTATTTGCTGCAGAGCAACCGAGAGAAGAGGGCGAGCT